TTGGTCTATTTGGTCGATATAGAAGAATTTCTGATCATAAGATAACGACGCTATAAATTCTTTCGTCAACTTCAATAGAGTTTACAAGTAAAGACGATAGGCTTGGTTCTGGTAAACTCTGTGTAGTTTTATGTCTCAGACAGAGTTAAAGGAAACCCATATACTCGCAAGTGTCTTCAAAGCGGAGATCCCAGTGATCATGGAATGGGCGGCAGTGATCGTTTATATTGATAGTCGTATCACTGAAGTGTCATACCGTACATTCTTGCTTAGATTTTATATATTGTTTAAAAAATACTGTGTTGGGTGTTTGGGCACAGTTTCGATTCTATATCTAAATATATTTAAAGTTTTACCGGATGACCACTGATAGATTTTGTGACTGTGTCAATATATTGTGATACTGTATGATGATTTGCAAGATGTCCTTGCCTCAGTGGTTTGGGAGATTTTAGTGAATTTTTAACAGACCTGGGCGATTTCCATTAATTTTGCATTAACATTAAATTAAAAAAATATTAATTTAATGTAAAAAATATTGCATTAACATTAAATTTGTAAAATTTAATGCATTAAATTTGCATTAACATTAAATATTTTTGAATTTAATGCATTAATTTTACATTAACATTAAATATTTTTGAAATTAATGCATTAATTTTGCATTAATATTAAATATTTCTAAAATTAATGCATTAATACATTAAATTCAAAAATATTTAATGTTAATGCAAATTTAATGCATTAAATGTACCCATGTTAATGTTAATGCAATAAACTTGCATTAACATTAATTATTTTTAATGGTGAAAAAATTGTTAATGCATTAACATATTTAATGCATTTATCCCAGATCTGATTTATAATAGACTTTGACGAGGAATCATTTACATATATCCTTCCTATTTTTATTTTATTTTGTTTAGTTATGATTTGAAATGTATGAAAATGTATTAATTTTTTACTCTAAAATAATTTTTTTTTATTGTGGGCGTCATAATTATAGGTGAATTCTAAAAATGAAATTCTAATAAAGTTTAAAAAAAATTATTTTTTTTTTTTTTCTAAGAAACTTTTTTTAAAATGTTTATAGGTATTATGCGTTTATGTTCCACCTACAAAGTAACGGTTTTTCAGCTAAGTTTTTATAGGATTATAAAATAAAATTATAAAAATCTTAATAGGTTGTAATTTTGAAAATATTTCGAATACAATTTTCTATATGAAAAAGTGAACTTTTAAATTGAATACAAATAGCATTTTTTAATTAAAAAGCGATTTTTACAAGTTATACTATTAGTGCTATAATATATTAAAAGTCTTTAAATAATTGTACATTTCAATATACATATACTTATTCTAAATAACCCCCGTTTAATTATTATTCGTATGGCATCACTGCACTTTTGGATTATTTTATTTGGTCTTATTAAATTTGTTGTTTTTTACATTTTTTTTTACTTCAGGTCCTTTTCATCCCCTTGACATCTTGTGTGTGTACAACAGTAACAGAAGTAGAAAAAGAGTTTAATAAAGAAAGCAAAAAATATATAAACGAAGAACAAAGTATTTGAGTGTATAAGAAAAACAATCGTCTTACGAAAATTTTTTATACAACACAAATTTAAATTTGCAAAGAAAAACTACAAAAATCGAATTAGAAAATGGTGAAAGAAACCGCATATTATGATATTTTGGGTGTTAAACCCAATGCCACACCCGATGAATTGAAAAAAGCCTACAGAAAGTTGGCCCTTAAATATCATCCAGACAAAAACCCCAACGAGGGTGAAAAATTCAAAGCCATCTCTCAGGCATACGAAGTACTCGCCGATCCCGACAAACGTTCCATCTATGACGAGGGTGGCGAAGCTGCCATAAAGAAGGGTGGCGCAGATGGCGGCGATTTCCGTAATCCTATGGACTTCTTTGAGAGATTCTTTGGCGGCGGTTTCACTACAAACAGACGTCGTGAGCGTCGTGGCAAAGATGTTGTTCACCAGTTGTCCGTGCAGCTTGAGGAGTTGTACAATGGTGCTACCCGCAAATTGGCTCTGCAGAAGAATGTCATCTGTGACAAGTGTGAGGGTCGTGGTGGCAAGAAGGGAGCTATTGAGAAGTGTATGCAATGTCGCGGTGCCGGCTTGGAAACTCGCATCCAACAGATCGGTACCGGCTTGATCCAGCATGTCGAACAGGTGTGTCGCAAGTGTGCCGGTACTGGTGAAATGATCTCCGAAAAGGATCGTTGCAAGCAGTGCGTCGGCCGCAAAACGGTGCGAGAACGTAAAGTTTTGGAAGTTCACATTGACAAGGGTATGCGTGACGGACAGAAGATTGTATTTAGCGGTGAAGGTGATCATGAACCCGATTCACAGCCTGGCGACATCATCATTCTGTTAGACGAAAAGGAACATCACACATTCGTACATGCTGGCACAGATTTGATGATGAAAATGCCAATTCAGTTGGTCGAAGCATTGTGTGGTTTCCAACGTGTTATTAAGACATTAGACGATCGTGATATTGTGATCACATCGGCGCCCGGTGAAGTCATTAAGCATGAAATGACCAAGTGTATAATGGATGAGGGTATGCCACTGTATAAGAATCCATTGGAGAAGGGTCGTCTTATCATACAGTTCGAAGTTATTTTCCCCGATACAATTCCAGTCTCCGTTATACCCCAACTGGAACAGTGCTTACCACCTAGACCAGAAGTAACCATTCCAATTGATGCCGAACAAGTCAATTTGGTAAGTTGAAAGATGGATAAAAATATCTTAGCTTAAGTTTTTTATTAATAATTGATTATATTTTATGTTAATCTTATTTTTTAGGTTGAATTCGATCCTAAACAGCGCAGAGATCAACAACATCATCGCATGGCATACGACGAAGATGATCGTTATGACGAAGGACCCAGAGTGCAACAATGTACCACAAATTAAGCTTGTAAATAGGCAAAGAAAAAAATTAACACACATCCACAAAACAAATGCGATTGAATAACTTACTAAAAGCAAAAGTATATCCACGCAAAAGCAAAGCAGCAACAACAACTACTGTAAACTTTACTACTAACTCTCACAATTCCTTTAAAATAAAATAAAAAACATATAGAAACATACCATACTCTCCAAAACTACAAATGCATCTGGAAGATAAAATACATACTATATACAAAAACATAAAAAAGATTATTATTACAAAGAAAACCAATAACTGTGAATTTAAACGCAAGGAGCGCGATTAATAAGAAGAAATTTCGAAACAGCTAACATACATTCACACTAGATATTTAACACTTTAGCTAAACTACAACAAAAAAAGAAAAAACAAATAAAAAACAAAGAACTCAATATTTAATTGTAAATCAACAACACTTGTTGTATTTATTGTGTTTTGTAGATCCTAAAAAAATCTTTCTAACATTGTCCCTCCACACTTTGCACTTTTTTTCATACATATTGTTGTAACAAAATTTCGTTGACCAACTGCAGCAGTTGCAGGCAACAAATAACGAATTTATATTGAGTTATTTTACTTACACGAATGTATTTGAATACAAGAAAATTTAATTTCTTCTATTTTTATTATTATGATGAAGCTTACTTATTGTATATATTTCGTAAATATGATACAACAAATATTTATTTTTGCTACTTTTAGTTTTCTTGCTAAATAAAATCTTTGAAGTTACAATCTTCCTTGTAGAAAAAAACATGCATACATACATATATACAAAATCAAAATTGTCTAAGAATCTAAACACTACCGGGGGTTTACTTAGAAAGTTGTTAAAAAAACAAATGAATTAAATTTTGGAAACATTTTAATGTGTTTAAAAATTTGTTTTTTCGAAAGCTTTTTCTTTTGTTTTCCTCTCATTCTCCATTTAGTTATGAGTTGGAAAAGCAATTGCAGTTTTATGTGAAAATTTACATATTGGAGAAAAATTATATTTAAATAGTAACTGGATAGCATAAACACAATATAAATATTATAAACAATTAAAAGAAATAAAATGGTTAGTTCAAACGAAATAAAGATAAATTATTATAACCTAGAATTTGAAAATGTGTGTATAATTTGATTTTCTTTAATAGAGTTTTAATGTTCTACTCAGTTTTGCAGGTTTTAGTTGGAGGAGGACATGTAAAAACTTGCAACAAAGACGTGTACGGGAACAGACATAATAACCATATCTACATCCATAGAGAAACATATGTCTACTTCGTCATTTTGACAACTCAATTGAAATAACAAACAAGATACATAATTGAACCATTAGATCTTCATATAGAATAAAAGACTTTGTTTTCAATATTTTTTGATATTAAACTGCATATCGTTAGTTGAAATGCAAAAGGATTTGATTAGAAACAGTCACTGCATCAAAAAAAAATGTCGCAAATTTTTAGATTTCTATTGTCAAAAATAACTACATTACTCACATAAAATTCAAAAAGGGCTTAACAACAAATTTCTCATATCCGTAAGCAAGATAATAGTGTTTGACGACACACTTATATTCAAATATATTTATTGATGTTAGGATATAATGGATTCTGCGTTGGAATTACTATCCATAAAAAAATTGAAGCCGTTTAGAGTCGTAACACATACAATACGTACTTTGTGCCGAACTGCGACTGACAGCTCGTGTTTAATGTATTTGATAATATTAGAGCGATCCCAATTAATACGTTATACTTGTGCACGGTATACTAAAGTTGTCAAATATTCAAATTTGGCGTACGTAAAAGAGGAGAAATAGAAAATGACAACAATAACAAAACTGTCTAAATTGTTGTTTGTCGTTTGATTTTTTATATTGGGCTGTCAGTCGCAGGTGGACGCAAAGTAATGTATGAGTTTGAGCTTTAAAGGAGTTCTATTAAAGTCTCATAAATCCCTAAATAAATTTGAAACATCTGGTAACAATTTGAAAATGTGCAAAAAATAGAAAATCTGGCAGCAACAATTAGCAAAAATAACAAATTTTCCCGCCAGCTGATCGAATTGTTGACAAGAAAATTTTTAAAAGAATTTAAACGTTTCCCAGGTTAAACAAAAGAAATAATAGTGTAAAAAACTACAAAATGAATAAAGATAACTCTTCAATGGACATGGATCCAGAAATTGCCAAAAAGCTATTCAATCAAGGAGCTGTATTGTTTATAACTGGTGTCCCTAAAGGCACGGAATTCGGCATAGACTTATGCTCGTATGTAATCGGAGATAATTTCAGAGGAGTCAAGATGATACCACCAGGACCTCATTATGTGTGGTGTGCAGCTACGGGTCCCTATGGTGATATAGCGCCCAGAGTGGGTTTTACACATTTTTTTGAAGAACAAGAGCTGTTGGTAAGGGAGTGGGATGCAAATAATGAAGAGTTGAGAGATAGGCAAATAGCCGAACCTGAGTTGGAAAAGCGTCGCTTAAAAGAGAATCTTAAAATGTTAGATTCTTATTTGGCGCCTTATGACTTTCGCTATTGTGGGGAATGGCGCAAACTAACCGATACTATTACCAAACAATGTGTGGCTAGATGTAGGCCGGCGTTGGGTACGATACGCACAAATGTTGAATTATTATCATGCCCTGACGCAGAAAGACCCAGAGGCCCCTTAACGGAAACACATCCATCAATGTCAGCTAAATTGGTAAATGATGAAAACGACCTGCTGCCTCAATTAAAACCAGTGGAGGGAACAGCACCTAGATTTACCTTCGTGCCCGACCGTATACCCAAAAATTCAACACCGGCCGAAATATCGAAACACTCTTTGGATTGCATACAAGCCTGCAATGATTTACTAAACAATTTTAATCCGACACAAGATTTGATACAGGAAATACAATTATCTTTTGTTTTCTTTATGGTCGGCTATTCGGTCGAATCTTTAGCCTACTGGCGCAAAGTTTTAGCTCTACTATCACACTCAGAGGAAGCTGTCAGTAAATACCGTCTACTATATATGAAATATAGTGAAGTTTTAGTGCATCAGTTGCCCCATTTACCAGAGGAGCTAATGGAAGCCTCTGAACGTAATACCGTTTACAAGGATATACGCTCATTACTGGTGAATTTAAATCTTAGTGGTTTGCATAAAAGTGCCGAGTTTTTATCAAAGAAATTACAAAATTCAATGAATTGGACATTTGAGGGATTGCTGGATGAAGATCCGGAAGATATGCCGGTTGTTGTAGAAACAAATGAGTAATAAGAGTTAACAAAAAAGCAAATAACCTGCACGTAAGTAATATTTAAACATTTATTAGTTTTATTATTGTATGTAGTAATTGTTATAATAAAATTTGTCATAAAAGAGGTTAAAAAAAGAGAAAATGATTGCCGTTTGTAGGGCATAAACTATTTAAGTTTTTTAGGTTCCTTAACTAAATCTTGTTCCTCAACATTATCAGCATTTTTAAGTAAATTTTCTTTTGCCTCTTGATTTTCGTCTTTATTTTCCTGTTCCTCATCTTTGTCAATTTCTGCATCAGCTATTTCTTTTTCTAAATCCAAATTATATTTGGCCGCCAACTCTTCCAGACGTTTTTGATTATTTTTTAAATAGCCCGGCAGATAAAATATAGTCTGCACCATTCTAAAAGATTACGATTACAATTAATATATTAATTTATTTTTATTATATTCTTAAACTTACTTTATGAGCACATAACCCGAAATGGCCAACAACAAACAGGTGCATGATGTTTTCAACATCGTCCAGTAGTCCACTACCACCTGCTGGTGCTTCATTTTATCACAACTATGGCAATTAATTTTTAAACTCAATAAAAATGCCTTTGCTGTAAAATAAAATCTCTGAATTATTTGTTCTTTGAATTTCTTGGACCTTTTTGTGTTCGATTAGTGACAAGCCTTCAATCACACGTAGTCATAATTTTATAACTGATTTATTTTTTTTAATATTTTTCATTATAGTTCTGTTGATTTTTTTTTGTTATGGTCATATTTGTGGCATATGGGTCACTGTGGTTACTACCCATCCAAAAGGCAGGTGGGACAGGTGTTTTTTTGTAATTTTATCATGTGTGTTTTTTGTTTTCTTTAAATTATGGGGTATCTATTGTTTATCAATGAATTTACTTGAATGCGTTATTAAGTTAGGGGTTGCAATAAGTTATCACCTGATGTACTTGAATGCGTAGTTTGTTAATTTGTTAGGGATTTCCACGTAAATCGAGAAAAATAATATAATTTTACATGATCATAAATAAGAAATCTCTCGATTGCATTTCACCCGATATTTAATACAGTGAGGAGACTTTATTAAGAAATACTGAATTATTTTTTATTTAAATAAATTGTTTATATAGATAGAAATGTAATGTATTAAATATTAAGAAAATATAAATGTACATTATTGGACTTTTAAATAATATCAGTGGGCATAAAACTTTAAATGTACTGAAAACCCTTCACTCAATTTGCATACATTAATTGTACAATGAGGTGCCTTTTGAAAAATGTCGAAGAAATTTCAAACTAGAAACTTACTATATATATATCTGTCTGTCTATCTATCTATCTATCTATCTATCTATCTATCTATCTATCTATCTATCTATCTATCTATCTATCTATCTATCTATCTATCTATCTATCTATCTATCTATCTATCTATCTATCTATCTATCTATCTATCTATCTATCTATCTATCTATCTATCTATCTATCTATCTATCTATCTATCTATCTATCTATCTATCTGTCTGTCTATTTAATTTTTCCACATTTCTTCTGTGTTCTTTTGGGGGACCCCACTAATGAACGTTGTAATATTTTGTTTTAGAAAAGATGTATATAGTTACAGTTAATAACCTTATGAAATCAATAATATTAAAAATAGTATTTATCAAGTTATAAAGTAATTATCGTCTACTATGTCAAAGTGATGTCGTGGTCTTAACATCCCTTTCACATTCATCATTACTTTTAATATATATATTAATTTTCTAAAATACTGGCATAAGTCACACAAATAATAAAGTAGAATTAACTTAAATTTGTTATATTTAGACCATAAGGATTCATAAAATACAATTATTAAGTTAGGACGTTATTGTCGTAAATATATTATACATACATGTGTATGTACATATGTAATAGAGTTCCTATTACAGGCCGTTTCAACGCAAAGGTTTTTCTTTAATTTTCCATTTAAATTTTATTTTTATAAAAGTATTTATAAACATTTAGATAAACTTGATTTTTTTCATAAAACTATTACACACTTAATGTACAAAATTTCTTAAGGCTGCTACCACACCCATGCCATACATGAGTTTTTCTTCCACTTGTCTCCATGAACTTTCTTGTACTTTAGACAATTCTTCTAAAGTCTCCATTACTTCAGGTATTTCAACTAAATTTAAACCATGTGAACGTAAAAATACACTTAAATATGATTGAGCTAATTCGAAATTTTGATTAGATTCAAACATGTATTTCAAGGTTTTCAAGAACTCTACCATGGCCTTGACAGTGCCACCACCTATGGGATGTAAAGATTTTACCTCGAAGTCAATCATTGAGGGTCCTAATTGTTTGAGATGTTGTACGCATTTTTCATAGTTTTGACTCGATGAGGTAGCTTCTAATAATTTGCCGAAATTTGTTAGATTATTGAGAGATGTTGCTTGCAAAACACGCGACTCCAAATCTTCATCATCTGATTTAGCGTTGATAACATCAAATTTCATTTCTAAACCTGCCACTGTGGGCAGGAAGAAGGGTGCTTGCTTGGGTACTTTGGGTGGTGCCTTGGGTTTGTTGCGTTTTTTGATGATATCTAAATCTAAAAGATTTTGCCATCTAGATGCTGCCACACCTGACATGGTAATCAATTCCTTAGATAACTGTTCAGGTGTTTCATATTTCAAAGCAATCTCTTCGCCCAATTCCTCCACTTCATCATCAACATCCATAGAAAGTTCATCTACAGCTTCTTCCAAGTTCAATTGATCAGCCACATTTGATGGTAAACCCACATAGGGAGCCTCAGCTTTGGGATTAATGGAACGCAGAGAAATTTGACTGAATAACATCTTATTGGCCCACAAATAAATACCCAAATTATTGACATGGGCTGTGGCTAGAAAATCTCCAGTTGGTGACATTGTTAGAGAAACACAAGGTTTTTCTACTCTAAAATGATCAATCATATATGAAGAGGGTATATCCCAAATTTTAATGGTAGCATCCATAGAGGCTGATATCAGCCAACGACTGTCGGGGCTAAAAGTAACATCATTGATTTTGGCCGAATGACCCTGAAATTTACGTATCACTACTTTGGTGTCCAAATCAATAACAAGTATGGTGAAGTCAACTAGTGCTACAGCAATCATGGCACTTTCTCGATGACAACGTATTAGGGAAATACCATCTTTAAACTGTATGCGAGCTAGAGGTTTATCAGCTGGAAAGAAATTAATGAAATTATTTGCAATGCTAGGAAATAAATGAATATTTTAAGGTTTTTTGACCTAGTTTTAAAATAACATTTTCAGCAAAAACTTCAAAATTTCTCACTTACCATTTTCCTTAAAGTGCCAAAATTTCAATAAACCATCACTACAACCGGTAACCACCACCTGATTCAGATTATCAGAAGCCACGCCACGTATGGCAGCCTTATGAGCAGGATTACCATAACTAGCTCTATGAATACCCGATTGTATATTAAAACGTTCAACATCACCACTAGAATAACCTGACGAAAGTATTTCGAAAATTAACTGAAATTTTCACAAAATATACAAAACTTACCAATAATAACAAAATTACCACAATGGGTCAAGGTAACACATGTTGTTTCTGCCTTAAAATCTTTACGATTTCTATTGGTAAACTTTTCGGGTATCAAATGATGTTCACCCATACGATTTTTATGAAATGACCAGGTTGTGGTTTGTATAGTGCCCGTATGAATGGCTGCAATATTGTCCCATTCCTTTTCGCGTGTCAATTCGGTGGTAAATTCAATAATGGGTGGCATGCGATGATTGTCCTCTTGGAAACGATCTTAAAAATGGAAAATGTTTTTAGTTTAAATTTTAAATATAGATTTCAATTTTTTTAACTATAATTACTTTTCTTTTTCGATGCTTTTTTATTGTAACTAGCTTTGCCTAAACTTTTATTTAAAGTTTCTGATATAATGCTAAAAGCTCTAAGAGAACTATCCTCTCCTGAGGATAATATAGTACGACCGTTACTGCCATGATAACGTATACATAAGGGAGGTGCATTGTGTCCTTCACGTATGCGCAACATACGTGCTCCTCCATCGGATAAATCAAAAATCCATAATTTCATAGAATTGTCAGGGGAAGTGGTAAGAATTAAAGGTTCATTTGGCAAACAAATGGCGGTGGTGACGGAATCTTCATGGGCTTGCAATTGACTAGCAATCTATAGAGAAATATATATTTGAGAAAAAATTATTAATATAAATGAATATGTATTTAACATTATAAAATCTTACCTTCTTCTCCTCCAAATTCCAAAATGCTATATAACCATTTGTACTAGCTGATGCCATAATTGGTGGTCCATCTGTGCGGAAGGTAATTTTAGAAACAGCACCCCAATCTTGCTTAAATTCCATTAGCACTTCATCAAATTTCAAATTAATTACAACAATGGTGCCATCTTGATGACCCACTGCCACCACATCAATGGCAGGAGCTGGTTCAATACAGGTCACACGACTTGCATGACCAGTAAATGTATAAATTAAACGATTATCCTTAAGATTCCAGATCTTTAGTTGACCCTGCTTTGAACCCAATACCACCTTATTGATATAGGTAGGAGGATGGGCAATGGCAGTAATTTGAAATTCATCTGCATTAAAAGGAACCTCCAAATACACTTCTTCTTTTACAATATCCCAAACTTTTAACACATTAGCCTCATCCACCGCTATCAAATGCTTAGCAAAGGGCAAAAGTAGATGAACATTTTTGGTGTGTCCCTTATAGATGTGTCTTACATGCTTGCCAGCACGCCAGGCATAAATCCATTTATTACAGGCCGTATAAATATGAAAACGATCTGTGGCCAAGGCGGTAATTTCATCGGGATGCTGTCCACTGACATGCAACAAACGGAAGTGGTTAGAGGTGTAGACTTGGAAAGAACGTCCTATGCAGGTTGTTATCAAATTATCTTTACGCCTCAGTATATAGCGTACCACTGCTGGTATGTGATTGCTTACATAGCCCAAAGAACGATTGCGTCGAAAAATCACACTACTATCACGCTGTTTTCCTTTAAGGCTTTTGTCTATTTCATTTCCACCCGAATTTGTCATTTTTCTTTTATTTTTATATGATTTTCAGTTTGTTTTATTTAATTTTCACTTAGAATTTCTTAAAAATTATTAAAAACACGCGGAACTTGTCTGTTGACCAACGTTTTTATTTTTCTACTTTCAATTGTCAAATGATTGAGAGAGAATGTGTTAAAAAGAGCATTTTTTTTTGTTTGTTATTGTAGTGAACACCACCAGATAAGCAACATGTGCTACACTGAGCAAAATTATGTAGCTGCAATGAGTTTGATAAATTCTTAAATATTTTCTTTTATTTTGTTATCTTAAATGAATATGAATTTTAAGATAAACATTTATTGTATTTTAACATAAACATGCATTGTATTTATACCCTACACCACTATAGTGGGGAGGGCATTATGAGTTTGTGCTGATGTTTGTTACAGCATGACGTCCTTTGGCCACAAGGACGATGCCTATTGAAAATGGTTGAATTTGGTCCATTATTTTACCTAGCCCCCATACAACCTGACCTTCCGATTTGGGGTTTTTAACTCATAACTACGTCAAATATATTACTATTTCTCCAAAAATTGGCACAACTAAGTTTTATAATGATCGGCCGTCGTTTGACCCTAGCCCCCATGTAAACTCCCCTTTAAAAATATCTTAAACGTCCAAAAATTTACTTATATTCATTAGTATCGCAATGAAATTCAGCATAACTAAGCTTTATATAAAAATACATTCTTCCTCTCAATTTGTTAAGGATCGGCCCATATTTGACCTTAACTCCCATAAAAAGCCTCTTTTAGAAACTTTGTTTTTAATCAATAAATTGCTTAAATACATCGGAATTAAGGTAAAAATCAACTTAAAGTTTCTTTATGAAAAATAAATGGTGTTGGGTATCATATAGTCGGCCATGTCCGACTATACTTTTCTACATGTTTTTTCTATATAAAATTCTTACATTGTTTTTACAAATTGTTTCCATTGTTTTTACAATTGTTTCCATTCTTAAATAATGTTCCAATTGAAAGAAACAGTGCGAAAGTCCAATTTTTCATCAAAAATGGATTTTTATATAAAGAATCTAAAATCAGCTGTAATCCTTGAAAAACGCTGAAAATCGGCGATCATTCCAATTTTTAATCAAAGCCGCTGTAAATCCTTAAGTAACGCTCCAATTGAAACAAAACTGTGAAAATCTGTGATCATTCTAATAAAAAATATTAAATTTTTATATGAAAAATCTAACATCAGCTGTAGATCTTCAAAAGCCACTCCGATTGAGAAAATAGTGAAAATCTGTGATCATTCCAATTTTTCAATAAAAATTTATATCAAAAATCTAAAATTAGCTGTAGATCCTCAAAAGTCGCTTCAATTTAGAAAACTTTAAAATTTTGTGATCAAATTTTTGTATCAAAGATCTAAAATCGACTATAGATCTTTAAAAAAAGTAAAAATCTATAATCATTTCGATTTTGCATCAAAAATTGATTCTTATAGAACTATGATCACTCATCATCTATTCAATAAAAAATAATTAAAAAAATATTGGCAATAAGGTTGTTTTGCTAATCTGCATTTTTGTTTATTAATTATTATAATATTTTTATTTTGTTTTATTTAATCACTATATATGTATGTATATCATTTTTTTTATATATTTTTTTGCATTTTGTTTATGTTTTTTTATTATATAAATTTGCTAACAAATTGTTTATTTTTATATGTATAATATTAATAATTATATTTTTATAATAATTTAAAATACATACATACATTATGTTATAGTAAATGTAATATGTAGGGTGCATGTTATTTGTTGCTGTATTTCTTGTTGTGTATGAATTCTTTTTTTGTGTTTTTTTTTTGCAAACTTTGATTTTTTTATAATAATATGGAAATGAAATAATATTTAGAAACTATTAACTAAAAATTAAACATATCAGTAAAGATTATTAGAATAAAAAAATTAATTAAACAGAGATCAGTGGTGGTATTAAAATTAAATAAATTATAACATATTTAAAGCAAATGCTTAGAAATTAAAATTTAATTAAATGATAAACTTTTAAAATAGTTTAAAAATATATTTTTGGCAAATTATAAATATATTTTTTAAAATTTATTTAGTTTTTTTATTATATACATATTTTTTGTTAAATAGTTTAAATAGTCTTTTGCTTTCCTTAGTTATACACAAACAATTAACAAAGTAGTTTTTTTTTATGATAGTGGAGTGTGTTTTATTATTTCTGCTTAAAAAATTGTAACTGAAATTTTTTACCAGCCCTTTTTTTAGTTTTTTTTATTAAATATTTAAGAAAAAATTTCAGTTATTCTTTTTTTTTTTGTAAGTTTGTGACCATTTATTTAGCATTTTTGTTTTGTTTTTTTATTTTTCATCGATATTTTTATTTACATTTAGTATTTTTTTGTAATGTTTTTTTTTTATGATGTTTTCTATACAGGAAATGAATTTCAAAATAAAAAATAATATTAAGCGTTTTTGTTTTATTAATCTTATGTTTAGAATTTCACCTTCAAAACTAAATACATAATAAAAAAATTCACATTGAGGCTTTTTTCTCGATAGATCTATTCATTTTTTTTGACTGCGAAATTCCTTGATAAGTTTTGTTATTTTTAAGTAGTTTTTTTTTGTTGTTTGTAGTTAAAATTTATTTATAGGAATTGTTATTAGTAGCGGAATTACTTTCACGATTTAGAAATTCAGCCGAAAAGGGATAATCAATTTCGGGTATACGTTCAGCAACTGGTCTTCTATGGGGATTACCAAACTGAAATTAGAAAATGAAAATCAATTTATTAGATTCATTTAAGAATTTGAGATATTCCCAACCTAAACTTATTAATTAGATTGCATATGCTATACTTTTGTAAATTTCCTTAAACACTTACCCATGATTTCATCATTTTAATTAATTTGTATCTTGGTATTGCCTCAAGGTTACCATCTATTAATACATTTGCTTCACTAGGATAAAATTGCACCACAGTATCCGGACGTTCTTGTAAATCATTTAGTTCCATACCTGTTGTCTCGCCCGGTTGTGTATGCAATGAACGTTTACCATGACCACCATAACAGGCATAACCATATGCATTACAGCCCTCTGTAAATAAACCAAATAAACAAACACAAGATGAGTACTTATTATTACTTATAAGTAGGAGAAAAGCTATTTTAAGTTATTGCCCATCATCGACCTGTTAACATAACCCTCTTTTTTTTTGAGGATGTGGACATGTGAAAGTTAGAAAAAAACTTGAAAAAAGAAAATTAACAAATTTAACTTCAAGGCATTAAAAAGAAAATAAATTTACTTTTGAAAAAAGGATTCTTATAGAAGAACGAAGTAACAAGATTGCAGTTTAAGGCTTTCAAGTTTGAAATTAAAGATAAAAAATCTCTTTTTTAACATTGAAATTTTAACAAATATTCCTTTAAGTTCAATTTCAATGCAAATGTAAACTAATTATAGGATAATTTAAATTTACAAGGGTTAAAAGAAAATATTCTATGTTAAAAATAACCATAATAACACAATTTTAATATAACAATGCTTTTACAGTGGTCCGTATGTTGGTCTGTTAAAAGCACCTAACCGAAAGGAGCTAGAAAATTCAGCACCTTTATCAGTACGTTTTAACAACTTAAAATAGCGCAGTCATGCTAGTCTAGTCTATAGTCTAGTCTATAGTCTAGTCTATAGTCTAGTCTATAGTCTAGTCTATAGTCTAGTCTATAGTCTAGTCTATAGTCTAGTCTATAGTCTAGTCTATAGTCTAGTCTATAGTCTAGTCTATAGTCTAGTCTATAGTCTAGTCTATAGTCTAGTCTATAGTCTAGTCTATAGTCTAGTCTATAGTCTAGTCTATAGTCTAGTCTATAGTCTAGTCTATAGTCTAGTCTATAGTCTAGTCTATAGTCTAGTCTATAGTCTAGTCTATAGTCTAGTCTATAGTCTAGTCTATAGTCTAGTAGTCTAGTCTATAGTCTAGTCTATAGTCTAGTCTATAGTCTAGTCTATAGTCTAGTCTTAGTCTAGTCTCTAGTATAGTCTATAGTCTAGTCTATAGTCTAGTCTATAGTCTAGTCTATAGTCTAGTCTATAGTCTAGTCTATAGTCTAGTCTATAGTCTAGTCTATAGTCTAGTCTATAGTCTAGTCTATAGTCTAGTCTATAGTCTAGTCTATAGTCTAGTCTATAGTCTAGTCTATAGTCTAGTCTATAGTCTAGTCTATAGTCTAGTCTATAGTCTAGTCTATAGTCTAGTCTATAGTCTAGTCTATAGTCTAGTCTATAGTCTAGTCTATAGTCTAGTCTATAGTCTAGTCTATAGTCTAGTCTATAGTCTAGTCTATAGTCTAGTCTATAGTCTAGTCTATAGTCTAGTCTATAGTCTAGTCTATAGTCTAGTCTATAGTCTAGTCTATAGTCTAGTCTATAGTCTAGTCTATAGTCTAGTCTATAGTCTAGTCTATAGTCTAGTCTATAGTCTAGTCTATAGTCTAGTCTATAGTCTAGTCTATAGTCTAGTCTATAGTCTAGTCTATAGTCTAGTCTATAGTCTAGTCTATAGTCTAGTCTATAGTCTAGTCTATAGTCTAGTCTATAGTCTAGTCTAGTCTATAGTCTAGTCGATAGGTCTAGTCTAAAGTCTAGTCTATAGTCTAGTCTATAGTATAGTCTAAAGTCTAGTCTATAGTCCTAGTCTATAGTCTAGTCTAAAGTCTAGTCTATAGTCTAGTCTATAGTCTAGTCTATAGTCTAGTCTATAGTCTAGTCTATAGTCTAGTCTATAGTCTAGTCTATAGTCTAGTCTATAGTCTAGTCTATAGTCTAGTCTATAGTCTAGTCTAGTCTAGTCTATAGTCTCGTCTTTAGTCTAGTCTATAGTCTAGTCTATAGTCTAGTCTAGTCTAGTCTATAGTCTAGTCTGTAGTCTAGTCTATAGTCTAGTCTATAGTCTAGTCTATAGTCTAGTCTATAGTCTAGTCTATAGTCTAGTCTAAAGTCTAGTCTCTAGTCTAGTCTAAGTCTAGTCTAGTCTATAGTCTAGTCTATAGTCTAGTCTATAGTCTAGTCTATAGTCTAGTCTAGTCTATAGTCTAGTCTATAGTCTAGTCTATAGTCTAGTCTATAGTCTAGTCTATAGTCTAGTCTATAGTCTAGTCGATAGTCTAGTCTATAGTCTAGTCGATAGTCTAGTCGATAGTCTAGTCGATAGTCTATTGTCTAGTCTCTTGTGTAGTCTATAGTCTAGTCTTTAGTCTAGTCTTTAGACTAGTCTATGGTCTAGTCTTTAGTCTAGTCTTTAGTTTTTAGTTTAGTCTAGTCTACAGTATAATCTATAGTCTAGTCTATAATCTATGTCTAGTCTATAGTGTAGTCAATAGTCTAGTTTATAGAATAGTCAATACATTACTCCAGCCTTTTGAATAGTCTACAATCTTTAGGGTCGTTCATATACTGGTAAAAATATCACTTCATACCGTAAGGTTACCGAGTAGTGTTTAAAACTAGATTTTTAACTTAAAATTTTTACAATTTTTAAGTGTCGAGAAATAGTTAAGAAACTTTTTTTATTCTCACACGAATGACATAATTCAGATCCTGACATTAAGTTAATAACAACTTCGTACTAAAAAATACCATATTCATTTGTAAAATATTTTGTTTCAATCCCACTGTATATTGTAACGTCGTTTGTTAATCGCTTTTCAAATTCTCCAGAGACTTTTCAATTTTTTGGTTAAACATATTGACCGACAAAGTTTTGATGTTTGGTGTATGATGTTACTACTGGTTGTCGTAGTACATACTTGTGTTTTACGGCATTTACTCTTTAATCTACCACCACTTAATATAGACATTCAGGCAGGAACCACACATGCAATGTGACAGTGATGTCAACAATTATACTTCTATTATTTGGAAAAAACAAACATCTTTTAACTTTAAGATACATATATTGACTGTTCTCATATAAAAATTGTCTTAACTGGAAGAATAACTACCAGTTAAATGATAACTAGAGATGGTGAAAAAAATGTCTATTATGATTTGTAGTATATTTTCAAGAGTAGTATGTATATGTATATTTTGTTCTTGAGGTTTAGTAAAATGCATGAATTTTGCTATGTTTGCAAGGGTAATGTCAAAAACTTAAGGTTAGCATCACTTTTATTCCTTACTTTAATAAAAATATGTTAATATGAAATCATACATTTAAAACGTTTTCATCTAAACTCTTTTTGGTTAGTTGAACTCTTGTAGTCTTTTATTAAAATTAAATAGCATTCCCTTTAAATCCACATACATACATATGTACGTATGTATGCATGTGTAAACATCTTCACACATGAATATTTTTTTTACAATTTAATTCCAAAGGGAATTTCTAGTGCTTTTAAATTAGTCATAACACGCGTACTACGTAGTACATATGTATAAAAGTTTTTTAAATAACACAATTTGTTTAATCTTTTTTTATACCCACCATCAAAAAAGATGGGGGGTATATTGTTTTTGTCATTCCGTTTGTAACACATCGAAATATTCATCTAAGACCCACAAAAGTATATATATTCTGGATCCTCATTAAATTCTAAGACGATCTAGCCATGTCCGTCCGTCTGTCCGTCTGTCCGTCTGTCTGTCCGTCTGTTGAAAACACGATAGAGTCCAAACGGAAGCAGCTAGCGAGCTGAAATTTTGCACAAATATTTTATATTGATGCAGTTTGTTTGGTATTGAAAATGGGCAATATCGGTCCACGATTTCGCCTAGCCCCCATATAAGGCCCCCCTCAGAAAATGACATTAACGCTCATAACTGACTAAAAAAAGCAGGTATAGCAATGAAATTCGACATATACATATTTTTTAGGAACCTTAATATCATTGTAAAATTTTATAAGGATCGGTCCATAATTGACCCTATCCCCCATATAAGGTCCCCCTCAGAAAATGACATTAACGCTCATAACTGACTAAAAAAAGCAGGTATAGCAATGAAATTCGACATATACATATTTTTAGGAACCTTAATATCATTGTAAAATTTTATAAGGATCGGTCCATAATTGACCCTATCCCCCATATAAGGACCCCCTCAGAAAATGACTTTAACGCTCATAACTGACTAAAAAAAGCAGCCATAGCGATGAAATTCGACATATACATATTTTTTAGGAACCTTAATATCATTGTAAAATTTTATAAGGATCGGTCCATAATTGACCCTATCCCCCATATAAGGACCCCCTCAGAAAATGACATTAACGCTCATAACTGAATAAAAAAAAGCAGCCATAGCGATGAAATTCGACATATACATATTTTTTAGGAACCTTAATATCATTGTAAAATTTTATAAGGATCGGTCTATAATTGACCCTATCCCCCATATAAGGTCCCCCTCAGAAAATGACATTAACGCCCATAACTGACTAAAAAGAGCAGCTATAGCGTTGAAATTCGACATAAACATATTTTATAAGAATCTTAATATTATTGTAAAATTTTATAAGGATCGGTCCATAATTGACCCTATCCCCCATATAAGGTCCCCCTCAGAAAATGACATTAACGCTCATAACTGACTAAAAAGAGCAGCTATAGCGATGAAATTCGACTTAAACATATTTTTTTGGAACCTTAATATTATTGTAAAATTTTATAAGAATCGGTCCATAATTGACCCTATCCCCCATATAAGGTCCCCCTCAGAAAACGACATTAACGCTCATAACTGACTATAAAAAGCAGATATAGCGATCAAATTCGACATATACATATTTTTTGGAATCTTAATATCATTGTAAAATTTTATAAGAATCGGTCCATAATTGACCCTATCCCCCATATAAGGTCTCCCTCAGAAAACGACATTAACGCTCATAACTGACTAAAAAAAGCAGCTATAGCGATCAAATTCGACTTAAACATATTTTTTTGAAACTTAATATCATTGTAAAATTTTATAAGAATCGGTCCATAATTGACCCTATCCCCCATATAAGGTTCCGCTCAGAAAATGACATTAACGCTCATAACTGACTAAAAAAAGCATCTATAGCGATGAAATTCGACATAAACATATTTTTT